CTAAGTTAAATCAGAAATCTAAGTTTAAATTTAACATGGTAGAATTTTAATGAACAAAATTTGCAAAATTTATTTTAGACATACATATAAACAAAGGTGTGTAAATTTTTAAAAATTAATTTCCTACATTGAATTGCCTGAGTGGAAAATGCCAACAAAACATAAGAAGAAGGAATTACTAATTTTTAAAAAAATATATTTTATTGATTTTTTACAGAGAGGAAGGGAGAGGGATAGAGAGCTAGAAACATCGATGAGAGAGCAACATCAATCAGCTGCCTCCTGCACACCTCCTACTGGGTATGTGCCTGCAACCAAGGTACATGCCCTTGGCTGGAATCAAACTTGGGACCCTTCAGTCCACAGGCCGACACTCTATCCACTGAGCCAAACCGGTTAGGGCGGAATTACTAATTATTGATGAGGGTATGTGAAATGTGTACTTTATTGCCAAACCAGTAATTTTCAGCCTTTAGTTAGAAACATCCAAGTTTGTGAAGAAATCTGTGAAACGTTCCTGAAGCATTTAAGAGACGAAATGAATAAAAGGAGAGACTATCATGTACTGGGAACATAAAAAAAATTACAAATAAGTAGTTATTCATAAAATAATGTACATTTTTAGTGCAATCCCAATCAACAGTCTTAGTGAGCTATTTTAATGAAGCATGTGCAACTGGGTTTTAAATTTACCTGCAGAGGTAAAATGCCAGATAAGGCAAGGAAAAATATGGAAGGAATATTTTAAACTAGATTTTTATTTTTTAATAAAGGAATTTGCTACCACTTTTTACCAGGAAGTTACACATTCTAAGGGTCTGAATGGAAATTAAACAGACACTTGTTGCCATTTTACTTTTAACTTCCTTAAGGAACATTTTCTACCCTTTAACACTTCAGCAGTTTAACTTGGCTGTTGTCCCTCCTCCAACTCAGGGAGAGGCCTTCTGTCTTCCCCATCACAGGGAGGAGGCGGAGCATTCTCTCAGAAGCATTCTTGGTGGAGGGACTGCATTTCAGGAGGCTCCAGCTGACAAAAAGCTTCAAGGTAATGACTGTCTTAAATCTAGTTCTTTTTCAGGGACTTCTCAGGGCCCAAGAGTAAAGATGAGAAAAATAGGAATGGTGGTCTTAAAGTGGTGAGAACAGTGTGTGGTTTTAAAAGAATTTCTGGCATTTTGAAGGAATTAATCCTTTAGCATTTCTGTATCTCCCAATGCATTAAAAATCTACAATGGGAGAAGAAGTGATCAGATTACAGCCTCTATATTAAGATTTCAGTGCAGTATAGCCATTCATGCTAATTTATTGACTTGGCATTCCATGCTTATGTTGCTGGAATTTTGTTGCTACTTGAATTTTTAAGCATTTTTACTTTACACAGAAAATGATGGATAAAATATGTGACAGCATGGGAGAGAATACTCTTATGAATTGATAGAAAGGCTATATGTCACCTGTATATGAACATGGAAAGGGGAACAGATATGTAGTTGATTGGAGACACTTGTACATACATATGCATATATATGTGTGATTAGAAAAAAACCTGGGAGAAAATAAACTCCCATGTTAGTCAGCATTTCTCAGTGGTCAGGTTAGCCCATTGCAGCATCTTTAGAGTATATTTCCCCATGATTATTTTTATAACCATGAAAGAAAAGTGAAGCTGAAACAACATATCCATTTTGTTTAAAACACATAAGCATTCATAGACATATGCAGATGTGCAAACATCCTCCTTTTGGGTTTTTTTGCCAATAGTGGACATTTTCCTGGACCTGATCAAGTGTGTAGCCTAATTGCTGTGTTGGCTACAGCCCTGCATGTGTCCTTGCAACTCATTCTTTCAAATCACAGGTATGGCTTTGGTCAACAAGAATCATTTTTCTATATATTTTAAGAGTGAGATAGAGAAAGAACTTGGTTTATTTCTATAAGCAGTTTTTAAAACATTGTATGGAATGATATAACCATACAGTAGAATATTATGTATCTGGAGAATAGAAATATGTAGTGATTTGAAATGTCTGATAAGTAGTATAAAGTGAAAAAATGAAATTTTAACATAGCATTTATTATATGATATCACTTAAAAATAAATGTGTATGTTAGTAAAACATAGGTATGCTACTACAGTATATGCAACCAAATCTGGGAGCACATATCTGCCACACTATTAATGGGATCATTTGTGTAGCTGGAGAAACAGAGCTAGCTTTACTACTATTTAAAATAGTATTAATATATACTTATTTATTTACTTGGTTTACATCATTAGGTAAAATACTGAGATGAAATGTTGTAAATGTGGGAAAAATATAAAGTAATTCATAAAAATCATGTGGGAAATATTTACATAGGATGATGTTCAAAATATGTTCTTAATTGAGATCTGATGTTGGTTTGAAAATATTTATTCCTATATGCAAACAATTCTGATATTATAGAAAATATTCACAGTGATTATTTGTAGAGTTGTACTTTATTTTGTATATATCTCTCTGCACCTTTTCAATTTTTAATAAGCTTCTGGATATTTTTAATAATCACAAATATTGTAATTGAAGACATTATGACCCTGTTATAATCTGACAAAGCAAAAGCCTTGAACTTAGAATAGAAAATTCTAGAAGCCTGGGGAGGCTTCTGACTGGCTAAATGTAGTTCATTCGCTTCTCATAAAAAGGATCTGATCATGATTGAAGCCCTGCCTATGCCTCCCGTGGAGGCTGCAGTTCTGATTCTGGTCACAAGATGGGGCTTCCCAGGTTTACTACATTTTCTTCAGGCAACCATTTTTATGAAAGTGGGAAACAAAGCAATGAAACATATTTTTGTATTAGTGGACTATGAGACAGCATGTAGAGTATTATTAAAATTCCAATGAAAAAATTATTTTGCAAAGAAGGAAAAATCCACATATTGATTGATGTGCAGATTCTAGCAAAATCTATAGTCTTGTTCATAATAGACACAAGGCAATTTGTTACTTCCCTTCTCTCTTACCCCCAGCTCACAGTTTTCTAGTCATAAAGATCATCTCACATTAACCAAATAAACTGTGTCACAAATAGAATTTAAAAATAAAATGAAGGAAAATAAATATGGCATCTATATCACAGATGAGATTTTATCTCATTCCTGTGTTTCAGAATGGCATGCCTTCTAAAGTTTGGGCAGGAAAGTTTCAATATTTTTTTTCATTTTTTTTGGTTTGAATTTCTATCTCCTTTTGTGTAGCCTTTCTTTTTTTCAAGTGAGAATCAAGACAACCGGGCCACAAGACCAGATCCTCTATGACACATTTGACACTGGCTAAGGCTCTTCCCATTTCACAAAATATTTCACATTAAAAACTTGTTGAGAACTTGAGTTAGAATTTGTTTTGCTTCCTTCTCTGCAGCATAATATTTTAACACTCACACTCACACGGAGATGTTTTTATTGGCTTTTTTCAGAGAGAGAGGAAAGGGGAGAGAGAGAGAGAAATATTGATCAGCTGCCTTTCTTACAGTATCAAACCTGCAACCTAGGCATGTACCCTGACTGGGAATCAGACCCACAATCTTTTAGTGTACAGTTCAATACTCCAACCAACTGAGCCACCCAGCCAGGGCTGCAGCCATAGCATTTTTAATTAGAAGCTATATTTCATACTAAAACCATGTTAGATTGAAAATTTGAAGTATAATTTATTTTGTTCTCTGTTCTATAGCCATAATATTGTGTAATTAAAAATCATCACTTCTATCCCAGTTGGTGTGACTCAGTGATTAAATGTTGACCTGTGAACCAGGAGGTCACTGTTCTATTCCAGGTCAGAGTACTTGCTTGGATTGTGGGTTCGATCTCCAGTAGGGGCCATACAGAAGGCAGCCTATCAATGATTCTCTCTTCATTGGCATTTCTATCTCTCTATCCTTCTCTGAAATCAATAAAAATATATATTTTTAAAAATAAAAATAAAAGTTATCAATTCTAGTTTGTGAGAAGAATCTCATGTTGAGCCACTATGAAGAAATTGTGCAAGAGGATATTCAGATTTCTACCTGAGTTTTACACACCTTACTCTCAATAAATCTTTGCTAACTATCCTACCCAATTAGTAAACATAGCAACCATTCTGAATCTCTGCCTTCTAAGCTCATGCTTTTAACAAGGTCATGTGTTATTGTCTGGGCCGAGGAGATGCATACTTTGCTTGCTTTGGGTAAATAGGAAAGTATTTATACTTTAAAAATTATAAAACCGTGTCTTTATCCAGAACAATGATTCTAAAGTTCTTGAACAAGTTGCAATAGAAGCACTTGAGAACTTAGAAATACAAAATGTTGGATCCTATTTAGAATCTTCTGAATAAAACTTTCAGGATAAGGCCTAGAAATAGTTTTATGAAGACCTCTAGATGATTCTGATGCATGCAAAGTTTGGAGTCCTACTGCCTTAGGTATAACAGTAGAGACATAAATGCCCCAAAGGAGGTAATAACATAAATAGAGTCCCTGACTTACCACTACAACCTTTCCCACCTCTGCCAGCAAGTACACTGATTCAGTCCTTAATAATCAAGTGCAAAATTGTAAGGACAAGTTCTTGAATTTGAGGTATTATAAACCACTTCTTCAATTTTATCCTCACTTTACATTATGCTGCATTTTCCCCTCCATATCATGCCCCACTGAGAATTATTCTTTCTTTTATCTCTATTTGTAATCGCTCACCTTCCACTTTGGCAAAATAATCTTGTTTGCTGATAATTTTCTTCTTTTTCCTTTTCCCTATTGCAGTATCTCTCATATTGTCCCATTTAAGCAACGGGCTCAAGCATCCTTGGGAAATTCTGCTGGAAGAGAACAGACCAAAAAAGCTATAAACACTTGGTAATTCTAAGACAAAGGAGATTTTGGTGAGAGTGTTGTTTTGGGTAGGAACTGCCTTAATATTGACAAGAATAGTCATTATCCTCAGTCTCTGATAGTAAACAAATCTAAGTCATAATGGATGCTGAGTATGTCTTATGCAATTGGAAAGACCAGTTATGGCCAGCAAAAGTTTTGTCCAGATGTGAGACTTCATCAAACAGTAAGAGAAAAAAGACATTTTCCCTAGAAGTTCAAATACTCTCAGTAAATGAAAAAATTAAAGTGGAAAGCAAGGAAACAAAGATCCTAAATAAATCTCAAATTGAAGCCATTGCCTCCTCACTAGCAGCACAGTCAGAGGGCAGTTATCCACCTAGAGAGGAAACAGCTTATGCAAGGTCACTAAAAATGGCACTGGGTATTCTGAATAAGAGAACAAATTTGAATCAATCAAGCAGTTCAGATGAAGAAGAGACCACTACACTGTCTCAAAATGTACCACAAAAGCTTTCTAATTCACCCCCTCGTAAAAAGTATCGGAAGCCTAAAGGAAACTTATCGAAGTGTCTCGAAGAACGTGAAATTCCAACATTTCTGTTAGTATCTTCAGAGAGTGATGATTCCTTGTATGATGATAAATCACAAGTGCATGCAACCGTTGATACTATTCCAAGTGAGATGGAAACAAAATCATCACAAAACTCCAGCTGGTGCCAAATTTTCCCTCCACTTTCAGAAGAGGATGAAAAGGAGAGCAAGAAAAAGATTGACATCCCAACAATTATGCCTTTGGGTTCTACAATCAAAGAGGAAGGTGCTTATGTTAAAGAAGAGAAGTTCACTCCAACTTCACCACCAGATATCTTCATTGTGCCAAAAAGTTTGAAAGAGGAGCCAGAAGATCTCTGCCCAAAGACACTGGCCATTTCCTCTGAATGCTCTGCCTTCTTAGAGAATATTGAGGATCCTGGAGAGGGTCCCTCGAATTCATGCTTAGATACAAGCCAGAATCAACCTGTAGAATCAGAGACAGGTGCTCTGGCATCCCCCAGTTATTGTTCATTGGAATGTCAGGTTTCATTTAGTGCCTCTAACCGTGTCAGGGATTGTTCACTCCGTGGGAATAATGAAAGAAGTGGCCAGAATCCGGATTTTGAGGAACACGGAGAAGAACTCCAAGCTTCTGATAAGTCAGTGCCTCTAAATCCTGTTGATACTTCTGTACTAGATGACGACGAGGAAGACGAAGTACTTCCACCAGTTGTTTTTCATTATGAGCCACGTTCATTTGAAGCAGGAATGATAGTCTGGTTTAAATATAAAAAATATCCATTTTGGCCAGCCATAGTGAAAAGCATCAGGAGAAAAGAGAAAAAAGCAAGTGTGATTTTTGTTGAGGCAAACATGAATCGTGAAAAGAGAGGCATTAGAGTGCTTTTGAGAAGATTAAAAAAATTTGATTGTAAAGAGAAACAAGCACTAGTGGATAAAGCCAGGGAGGATTACAGTGAAAGTATTGACTGGTGCATCTCACTGATTTGTGACTACAGAGTTAGACTAGGTTGTGGTTCTTTTACAGGCTCTTTCCTTGAGTATTATGCTGCTGACATTAGTTATCCAATCAGGAAAGTAATCAGACAAGATACCTTCAGGAACTTATTTCCAAAGCTGCATAATGAAGATTCTATGGAACCGATGGCCATGACTTCCCAGACCAAAAGAATGTCCTTCAAAAAAATTCTCCCTGACCGAATGAAGTCGGCTCGGGACCGAGCCAACAGGAATCTAGTGGACTTCATTGTGAATGCAAAAGGAGCAGAAAACCATCTTCTGTCCATTTTAAATGGCACAAAAGCATCCAGGTGGCTGAAATCATTTTTGAAAGCAAAGAGGTTCACTCCCTGTATTGAAACATACTTTGAAGATGAAGATCAGTTGGATGAGGTAGTGCAATATTTACAAGAAATCTACAAAAAAATCAACGAAAGAATGCTAGCTCGGATAAGAGATGATAAAATTAAATTTATCCTAGAAGTTCTTCTGCCAGAAGCAATCATTTGTTCAATTTCTGCTGTTGATGGATTAGATTACCAGGAAGCTGAAGCAAAGTATCTAAAAGGACCATCTCTAGGATACAGGGAAAGAGAGTTATTTGATTCAAAAATCCTAGTTGAAAAGAGACGGAAGCCATCAACAAAACAAGCTCACTAAATCACCTGCATGTCCAAATCCTAACAGGGAGCTTTCATAGATATTAGTTTTAAAAATCCCCCTAACATATTTTCCAGAAATGGGAGGCTTTAGGTAATATGTTCAGGTTTTGTTGTGTGTGGTTTTTTGGCATCTCTATGATCTGTCAATATTACTACATCAACATTTTCTTTCTTACGCTTCTTTAAAGTCACTTTTATTATATTTCAGCAGTTCTACTATCTCACACATTTTTAGAATTCATAATTCCTAAATAATTTTTAAGAGAAAGTACTATTTTGTTTTTTGACATCTTTGTGTCTATGCTGTATAGTTAAATACAGGGTACACAATCATTTGCATATGAAATTTGCACTAGTATTAGATAGTAAGCGAGATGATTAGAAAAAAAGTCTAAGGAACATTGATTATATTATATATTTTTGCTTAGTTTTTATAAAATATTGGGTTTCTCCTAAGATAGTTGAATTATTTTTTCTGCCATGCCTATTTATTTTTGGAAAAAAATATCTGAGACATAGAACCAAAGATAGAGATGCTTTGCTATATATTATTACTAACTGTAATTGCTTTTGCAAGAAAATCTGGAATTCAAAAATAAAGTAAGTGGATTACCTGCATGCAGTCTATATGTGTGAGAATAACATCTCAGCATGCAGAAAATAATTTTGGCAGCCTGGAACAGGATTGTTCATTCTACACTTCCTTGAAATTCCATTTGTGGAGTGTCTATTATTCAATAAGTCAGTGGTTTCTTAAACAGACAGGCTTTTGGCTGTCATCATATCTAACAGTATCTGTATCTAAATATAGCCATCTGACCACATGTGGAAGACAGCTAGAGTCATTGTATTCATAGTCTGGCTACTCTAGAGTATGAGTCCAGGCTGACTGCTTAAGAACCCATCTAGTTTGTTATAAACTGTAGAAAATGCAAGCATTTTGTTCTGACTATAGTATCTCTAAATATATAGTCATTTGTTTCAAACCAAACACTCTGTATATTAGTAAAATAGTTCCAGTTGGTTCCAACAATATAAATACCAACTGGTAAGTCATTCCAGGCTAAAACAAAGAGTAGATGGACCAGAATCTGTGAGTTTGGAAATGAGTCATAGAAAAGGCCTCCATTTGGCCAAATGTGACAATTATCCAAATATATTTAAAAGTACACAGCTGACAGTTGAAGTCTGAAACCAATGAAAAGCTTATTCTAACTTGAAATAAGACTTTAGTGAAAATAAATGTTATAAGGGCTACTTTATTTTGGAAACTTGACATAAAAATAAACACTAAAGGCTTAACATGAACTTGTCTGCATTTTTATTCTTAGAGTGAGACAACTGTTACTCTTGGGCTTTTGTTATATGTTTTCATGGCCACATATTTATGTAAAATTTTCAAAATTTTGATGTTTCATTTGTAATAAAACCATTAAATCTTTCATTTTGAATATTCACTTCATCATACTTCAGATCGTGTAGTTACATAACTGGTGTTTCTCTGTTTGGAATTTTGCTTGTTGTAGTTGTCTTCATTTTAATGCTTGTTATACATAATCTTATCATTCTAAATAAATATTCACTTTCATGTTTGATTTTGTATTATTTTAAAATAAAGCCTTCCAAATTGCATAAGCTTTAGATTCCATAGAACCTTCTCTTGGTCTGCCTGATAAAGACCAAGACTGCTTTAACATAACTGTATCAATCCACATAACTTCCTTATGATCTTGAGGAGTATTTGACAACAGACCATCACCACACTATATGTGGGACTCATACACTGGGAAAACACACTATATGTACTCTATAGCATTCTCTTTGATTCCAATATATTGCCCACCTTTCGTTTTCTCAGTGGAGCCATTTCTATCTTTTGTTTCTGATATTATCTTTACTACCTCATATGTGTATTCACTCATTCATACATTTGATAGTCAGGAGAGCAAGCAATGGTTTAAAGCTCTGCTCTGCTCTAAGTATTTAAGGTGACCCAAATGATAAGGCCAGATTTAAAGTGATCCAGGTGACAATCTAATTTCTAAAAGCACTAGGATGCACTACTTTATCATAATAGTGAGTAATATTTATTAATCTCACTGCCTGTATTTGAAAACCAGTTCCAGGCTTCCCCACATTTGTGAGTTATTGGGTTTGGGGTAAAAGGTGAGTTGCCTGATTCCTCCTGGTATGTCATTTATATTGTGGCATATGTTGAAGTGAGGGAGATGTGTCTCAGACATGCATCTATTTTCCTCTTTGCATGAGTTGGTGTTTGGGGTGTGGGAGTGGATGAGTTTGGCTTCCCACTCAGTATGCATTCTGAGACCCCTTTTAGCCATAGGGACATAGAACCAAAGATAGAGATGCTTTGCTATATATTGGTTGAGGCCAGCTCTAAGAATGCTTTAATCTGAATCTTTAACCTACATTTGTGTGTCTGATGGGCATGCCAACCTAATTCATTGAATTAAAGAGACCCCCATCTCTTCCAATCATAAGGCAGATTGTCTAATATCAAGCCCATATTATAATTGAAAGGTTGGCAGAGAAGCATGGAAACTATTCACAACATTTACAGGTCTCTATATCAATATATGTTTCCTAATAAGGAAAGAGTACAACTCTGAGACCTATAATAGTGATGGGTGTGAGAATCTTGGATATATACAATCCCAACTCCTCAGCCAGCCAAAAACAGCCCCTAACCCTTGCTATTAGAAAATAGCTTTCTTCATGGAGACAAGGCAATAACCTCATCTAAGGCAGCTACCTCAAAGGACATTGTTGTCTTAACGTCCAGCACATATTTTTCATTGATCCCAATTCATGACAAGGGTAAGGTATCACCACACCAAAAGAAAATGCAGTCTGTTTAGGTGGAATATCCTAACCTAGTTAAAATATGCCAGCATGTTTTGGAATGGATTTTGAGGATGTCAAATTAGCAACAGATTATAAGTGGATATAGGGGAAAATTTACATGGGAGCACACATTTGTGACTGCTAGGTGGCATCTTTAAGTTTGGACAACAGCCTACAGTCAATAAGATGGAGATACTGGAACTTCTTTGCCAGAGTATTGAGGAATTGGTGAGAAGGTCAAATGAAATGAGGGTAGTAGAAATGAATCAAGAGGACCAATCTCTAAACTATTTTCCCCTGGAGGGCAGAGAAAGCACTACTATAATAGTGAGGGGGAACAGACATTTTTAGTAGCTCAGTGTTGGCACTCCTCTACAAATCATGATTAGAAGCAAACTATGTTACAATAGGAATGATAGGATTCCAGAATGACAGGGTCCAGGTGGCGGAACAAAAGCTCAGGGGCAAGTTGGGTGTCATTACCATAATGAGAAGTAAGGTGAGAGTGGAGTCAGGCTACGGTGACTGACAGAAATATGTGGCAATGCCTTACAAATAGAATTCCAAGGCTAAATGTATGGACAATTGACTAGAGTATTAGCTATATTCCTAGTTTTGCTATTTATAATAGTTAAGATGGAGAAACAGCCCAAGGGCCCTTCAGTAGATAAGTGGATAAAAAAGCTGTGGTACATATACACAATGGAATACTATGCAGCTGTAAAAATGAAGGATCTCTTACCCTTTGAGATAACATGGAAGGACCTGGAAAGTATTATGTTAAGCAAATTAAGCCAGTCAGAGAAAAATATCACATTATCTCACTTATATGTGGAATCTGATGAGCAAAATAAACTGACAAACAAAATAGAGCCAGAGCCATGGATGCATGGAGCAGACTGACAGATATCAGCGGGAAGGGCAGTGGGGACAGGTGGGAGGAGATTAAGCAAAAAAACATATGCATATATGCATAGCCCATGAACACAGACAATAATTCAGTGAAGGCCTGTGGCAGCAGCAGAGCTGGGTAGAGGGGTGCAAAATGGGAGGTATATGGGGGACATTTGTAATACTGTCAACAATAAAAAAATAAATTTTAAAAAATTGGGGAGAAAAAGAAAAACAGCCTTGGCAAGTTAAAGTCTAAAGTCAGCAGTTTGGTGGAAAATCTTGGCCCCCAACTTACCTTTTTTTTTTTCAGATCTGTGGTGCAAGTAGCCTTGCCACTCAGACCATATGACTCAGCACGTTCTGATAGTGTCTTAAGGTATCTATGGTGGATAAGGACCCACTAACTAGTCATTCTAAGCCATAACATGGCATTGCAACACAGAATCTAAAGTTCTGAACAAAAGCCATACTTCCTGGGCCAGTAACCTACTTGTCATGTAAAAAAAACAGCTCCTTGATACTATTTAGAATTAGTAGATATGGAGGGCCTAACCAAGGTACAGTAATTGACTATATGACAGGCACTGCCCATTATACACTGTACATTTTGAGATTCACCGAGTGATAAGGTCTGGCAGCATTAGGAGCAGTCCAGCCTGTGATGGTAATACAACATTCAGGATCTAGCCTAAGAAGTCACAAATAATGATTGCACAAACTTCTATGCCATTGAACTTTGTTGCAATGATACCCTCATGGAGTAGGGGGTGATCTATGACCGACTATTTAAAGAGAAATTTATCAAGTCTGGTGCACAGATGTGTCGGCATTAAATGGATGATAGCTTTAAGTGTACTGCCACCCCACTTCAGCTTCAGTTGGAGTAGCCCTAAAGAATAATATTGAACATATAATTCCCAGTTGGCAGAGCTGTGATAATTACACCTGGTCTTTCAGTTTGATGGAGGGAGCTGTGATCTGAGGTGGTCTCCTGGCCTGTGGAGAACAATTTGGTTGGTATGCCATGGTATTGGAAAGAGAGTATTATAAATGAAAGGTAAGAAAGTTTGGATAAGAGGCATGTGGCTGTAACTATGGGAATGGAAACAAAGAATATATATCTCTATGCCTCATTGTAACGGCTATTCAAAGGATTGTAGAGAAGACATTTAAAAACCCAAGTGGATCTGATGGCTCATGCTGTGAATATCAAAGAGCTTCTCTTCTTAGTCATCTTAG